CTGTAACGCAATTGATGAACAGTGGATGCTGTTTGGATAATGCAAACTTGCTACTGTACAGTATAGCAATTTTCTATAGCATGAGGTTACGCAAGAATGCAACAATTGCATTATAGGAGAAATATCTGTAGTGATCTATTTCCAAGTCAAGCTGATGTCTGACTTGGGTAAGAACTTTCAGGTAATGAAGTTCACATGTATCTGCTGCCTTTGTATTTCTAGAGGTTAGCAGTTGTGGAGTTTGAAGATACTTTCCAAGGCTCCTTGGAAAACCTATTTTTGGTGGTTGTTCATAATTATATGATCCTTTGGTATCTGCTGACAAGGAAGGCTTGACGTTATTGATTGTCCACTTACCTGTTGAAAGCATGTAGTAAAGGAAGAAAGGTGGAAAACTGCAGGAGAAATGGATTATACTGCCAAAAAATCATATGTATATGCAAAGTGCATATAAAAGATGGTTAATTTGTCTAAATTTCTATGTAAACAGTGGCTCAAGTATTTGTGAGGCATGCATTTATTTGGTTTTACAATAATGAATAGGAGTCAAGTAATCATTTAAATGATCCATGACAGCATTGTTATGATTTGGAAAGAAGCCATTCAGCCTCTCGTCTATACCAGCTCTGTGAACATTGACTGAGCAAGTCAGATACAAAAATGAAATCTGGCTTGATAGATCATGGGTTTAATTGTTGTAGTCAATTGGTGTGGGACTTAATGAAATACTTAGTTGCGTTCTTGTGTGACCTCGCGCTATAGGAAAATCGCTATACCTGTACAGCAGAAAGTTTGCGTTATCCAAACAGCATCACTATTCAGCAATTGTGTTACAGCCAATTCCCATTAACAAAACATGTATGCTTTAGTAGAAGTACCTGTATATTCACACAAGGTGATGGGTGTTCGTAAACAACAGAGGTTTTAGACAAAAAGGGGAGAAAAACCAAGCAATTTAGATATAGAATAGAGTTTAGAAAGATTTTAACACACATCAAAAAGGTTTCAACCACTTTCCCAACACCATTGATTTAAGTGACTCAATCCAAGAAAAGTTATCTTGACAAGTTAAATTTATACTCAACAGATTCCTTTCAGCATCTTTTATGTGGAACAAATGCACATTTTCATAATTCTGAGGTTCTAAATGTTGAAGTAACTGGTACCCCTGAACTGAACTCTACTCCTAGGGGGAAAAGAAACATTTTATTTTGAACTGAACTGAAAATAAAACTAATGGCTTTATTCCGTTATTTTTGCTTGTCATAACCCAACAGTATAAACAACTTATCCATTGACACTTACAGGGCTTGGCTAGGCATTGGCTGAAGCCGTACAGCTTTTTTAATTGCGATATGTTTAGGTCACTGTTCCAGAATAACTGTCTGACTTCTTCTTTTAAGAGAACTCGCTGCCTCTATTTCAAAATCCAACTTTCAAAAATGATTCTGTATATACCCTTCTCAAGTGCAAACTCTGAGTATCACTTTTTCTTTAAAACATGGAAATGGATCTATTGGACTAAGAAGCAAAACCATTTGTCAAAACAATCAATTGTTTGAACTGTGCTGTTATCAGCAGATTCTGTCTATTATAATGTGTTATTAATGGAGGAAGTATTGATGTTTTGAACTGGAATTTTAAACTCTAAATTGTTGGTAGGCAGAGTGGGTAATTGGAAAATATAAGGGAGAAGGCTAATGTTCTTTTTTTTTGGATAAAACATCTGCATTTGGCATATTGAAGGATATGTAATGAAGAATTGTACAATATTTGCATCTATCTTTATCAATGAGGGTGATGTCCTCAGGTCGTCACTATCGCAGTGACCGATGAGGAATGAATATCACCAGAAATGTTCAAAATTGATAAGGACGAAGTGTTGGATAGACTGTTGGTACTCCAAATTGACAAGGTACCAGGACCAGATGAGATGGAAGGAAGTGACTGGAAATTTCAGGTGTACTGATCATCTTTTACTCTGTTATAGTTTTGGGGAGATGGCAGAAGACTAGAGAATTACAAAATTATGGCTGATTTCACGAAAGCTTGTAAGGAGAATCACAGGCCAATTGGTTTAATTTCAGTGATGGGGAGGCTTCTAGAAACAATTATTTGCTCTGGAATTAGTAGTCACATAGAAAATAGATTGCTTTGGAGAACCTGCATGGAATTATGAAAAGGAAATGTGCTTGACTAACTTGCTGGAAAGTTTTGAGGAGACAACAACAAAGGCCTGATTGAGGGTACTGCTGTTGATGTGGTATACATGGACTTCTAGAAAGCATTTGAGTCAGTGACACATGACAGACTTTTGAGGAAAATTATAAGCCATGGAATAAAGGGACAGTAGCAATGTGGATACAAAACTGGCTGAGTGGGAAATGCAGTCATTATCAGTGAATATTTTTGGGGCAGGAGGAACGTTTGTCATGTGTATGTATGTGTAACCTAGATTTTTTTTAAATATATCTGTATCTGTATCTCTATCTCTCTCTTGGTGTGCAGGGCATAATTTGAAAGTTTACAAATGAGATCAAACTTGGAAGAATTATAAACTGTGAAGAGGGCAGTGTAGAATTCTGAAAGAATATAGTTAAGCTGGTGGGTGGGCAGAAGGGTGGCAAATCCGGTTCAGAGCAGAGAACTGAGAGACAATGCATTTTGTTAGGAAGAATGTTGAAAGACAATATGAAATAGGGGATGCAGGGGCAGAGAGACCTAGGTTTATATGTGCATAGATCATTGAAGGTGGCAGGAGAAGTGAAAAGAGCAGCTTTTTTTTAAACACAAGCATTCAGTATCATGAGCTATATTAATAGGAGCGTAGTACAAGAGTAAGGAAAGTGTGATTGGTTGGCTCGCTGAGCTGGTTTGTTGTTCTGCAGACGTTTCATTACCCTGCTGGGTAACCTCATCAGTGCAGCCTCTGATGAAGCGCCGATGTGTTTTTCCACCTGGTTTTTAAACTCTGGAGTCCGTTGAGCTGGATTGCCTCGCTTCTGGTTTTCCTTCATAGTGGAGTGTATATGGGGTCGAGTTCTATGTGTTTGTTGATGGCTTTCTTCGTGGAGTACCAGGCTTCTAGGAATTCCCATGTCTGTCTCTGCTTTGCTTGTCGCAGGATTTTGGTGTTGCCCCAGTCGAATTGGTGGTTCTCCTTCTCCATCTGGATTGAGATGAGTGAGTATTGGTTGTGTCTTTTTGTAGCCAATTGGTGTTTGTGTACCTTTGTTAATTTCCTTCCTATTTTTCCAATGTAGTGTTTGTCATAGTCTCTGCAGGGAATCTTGTAGATGACATTGGTCCCGTCCATAGTGAGAAGTGGGTCTTTGGTTCGGGTGAGCAGTTGTCGTAGGGTTGATGTGGGTTTGTGTGCCACTCTGATGCCCAGCGGTCATAGGAGTCTTGTGGTTAGTTCCGATATGTTCCAGCTCAACGGACCCCAGAGTTTAAAAACCAGGTGGGAAAACACATCGGCTCTTCATCGGAGACTGCACTGATGATGTTACCCAGCAGGGTAATGAAACGTCTGCAGCACAACAAACCATCTCGGCGAGCCAACCAATCACAACACCCACAACCCAAGCTACAAATCTACTCCAAAACCTTAGAGTAAGGAAATTATGTTGAACTCTAATGTAAGGTGCTTGTTAGACCTCAGCTGGACCATCTTGTACAATTCTTGGTGCTGCAATATAGGAAGGATGTGAATGCAGAAGCAATTTACATGAATTGTTCCAGGGATGAGGAACTTCAGTTATGAGGATAGATTGAAGAAGTTAGGACCTTTTTTCTTTGAGAAGGAGGCTAAGAGGGGATCTGTTCAAGGGCTTTCAAAATCATGAGCATCTTGAAAGTGAATAGACAGGAATTGTTCGCATTTGTAAAAGTAACAGAAATGAGACAGCAGAGATTAAAACTGATTTGCAAAAGGAGGAAATGTGATGTGAGGTTAAAAATGTTTTCACACAGTGAATAGCTAGTATATAGAATGCACTGCTTGGAAATATGGTTGAGGCAAGTACAATTGATGTATCCAAGAGGACATTGGATGTTTATTTGGATAGAAATAATGTGCAAGGAAATGGAATAAAGCAGGAGATTGTACTAGTAATGGTGCTCATTTGAAAAGCCTGTGTGAACATGATCGGCTGAATAGCTTCGTGCATCATACGTCTCTTTTTATTCTTCTGTAATTTTCAAAATAGAAACCTGTTACAGTGGTTATCATTCACAAACTATTCTCATGGCCGCAATAGGTCCTATCTTGCATATCTATCCTACTCAGAATTTCCACAAGATTCAGTAGTATTGTCTCCACAAATAACATTTAAATTAATTCACCACTATTTGTCATTTTATAAATTGCAATAACGTGCAAATTACCAAAAAAATTCCTTATTGGTATTTTCTCTAATTTACAGCTATTACAAAGAACACCATCAAATCCCTTTTTTATTCTTTCACAGGATGTAGCTAGGCCAGCAGACAGTCCAACTCTAATTCCCCTTGAAGGTGGTGGTGGTGAGCTGCCTTCTGGGAATGCTACAATCTACGGTGGTGTAGATACACATTCAATGCTGTTAGGATATGAGTTCCAGGATTTTGATCCCACTGACAGAAGAAATGACAATTTATTTCCAAGGGGAGTTAGTGTGAGAACTGGAGGGGAGTTTGCAGGTGTTCCCGTATACATGTTGCCCTTGTTCTTTTCAGTGGTAGAAATCCTGAGTTTGGCAAGAGCTGTTGAAGTGCTGTAACATTCTTAAATATTGTTTTAAAAGCAAATGAAGACCTTTTTTAATACAACTACTTTATTTATAATTACATTAAGTTACCGAAACGTCAGCTTTCCTGCTCCTCTGATGCTGCCTGACCTGTTGTGTTCCTCCAGCTCCACGCTGTTATCTCTGACTCCAGCATCGGCAGTTCTTACTATCTCTAAGTTATCAGGGTGACTTGTTTTCTTTTCTCTTCTCCCTCCTTCTCATCTACAGGAGAGTGCAGGAAAGGGGAGAGACCTTCTGAGTCACAACATTTCATCCGAGGCAGCCCTTGAAATCACAGGAGTTAAAGACAGAAATAAAACTAGACAAGATCGTAACCTTCAGCTAAATTATCAGGTGATTGCGTTTATGAGAAGTTTTCCCTGAACGAAAGCTTTGTCCAGCAAGTTGTTTTTCACTCAAATTATGGAATAATTTTGAGCACTTCCAGCTTTAAGAAAGATTCGAAGAATCAAATTGGCAGAATTTAACTTGGAGGACAAGTTCATGGAATGCATTTGAGGCAGTTTTCAAGAATGGCATGTTAAAGAATCAAATAGAATGCAGGCATTTTTGGATCTATTACTGTGTAAGGAGATGGGGTTCATTAATTCTAATAGAAAAATAGCCTCTGGTGATGAATGATCAAATACAACCCTCAATACAAACGGGTGACAGGAAAATTCGCCCGGAAACCCTCAAAGATCTAGTTAGCATTTAATCATGGGTGCAACCAATTGGAGAAAAAAAATGACCTAGCATGTAGGAGAGACAGAATTTCAGAGGCTACCCCTCCAATTATTTAAGACTGCATAAACCTGAGTTATATTAATCTTCCATCTTGAAAAGGGAAACTAGGTTGGGTGTTTAAAAAGAATAAAAAGATTCAGTTGAGTAGATACTCAAAAGCCATTTCCTCAAATGTGGAAAAGCAGAATCCAAATCTTAAAATTTTAACTTCACTCTTCAGGAAGGAAATTGGGGACCAGTTTTCTCATAAAGGATAATGGAATTTCCTACCCAACAACACACACACTGCTAAGACAACTGGAGTTTTTAGGATTACGATTAATTAGATTATAGTTTTTAAAATATTGAGTAATTATAGAACAAAGGGGAGTAAATAGAATTAATATGCTATGATCCAATTAAATGGTGGAGCGGCAATCTTACTCTAAATAGGTGAAATTTACCAGTGGCAAATCCAAATCTGCATTCGTCCACACTTTAAAAATACTGTTGTCTAATTAGATTTGCACACGTGCATGTTGACTGGTATCTGATGTTATACACAATGTTACTTAACAACAGTTGCAAATCATTCTGGACATGGTTGCATTGTTTCCTCCTTTGTTTCTTACAGCAGAAAAAATTTAAAGTGAAATTTGCTTGAGTTCAAAGCCCTTTTGGAGGGCTTTGCTCATTAGATTGGGAGAAACTATGTCCAGCAGCAGGAAAGTTGAAAACCCACAGAATATAAATTAAGTTCGCTGGCAAAATAACTAGTGAGGCGATGAAACTTTTTCATGCAGTGAGTTTAGATTTCAAATGCAAATTTCTCTGTGTGTCTCTGTGTGTCTCTGTGTGTCTCTGTGTGTCTCTGT